CCGCCAAGTCGCAGCGTCGACCTCCTGGGGCGACCTGCCGAGCCGGCACCGCAGCCCAGCCTAGCTCAGAGCCGTCCGCTCACCCCGCGGGCCGCCCCCGCCAGCAGATGGCCGACCGCGTCGCGCCCATCCCAGAGCCGCACGAGCGGCCGAACACGAACACCCTGAGACGGAGCGCAGGGCGCACGCGCGCGGCATGGCCCGCTGCACGCCGCAGGGAGACGCCGAGGAGACGGCGAGACGCCGAGGAGACGGCGAAGCAGGAACACACGTTCTTGCTCTAGGTCGGGCGTGTCCCCCCTACAGGCGGATGGTGGTCAAAAAAATTGAAATAGGCAAAACATCCCACAATGATCAAACTATCAGACACATCGTCCCCATACTTTATTATTTCTGGGTGAGTGTTGAATATTCCTCCTGTGGAGGGACGTGTCAGACTTAAATCTTGTTCGAACTGGCGCAGCTGTCTCCGCGCGTGCCAGCGCCACTCCCCCGGCGAGCCGCTAGTGAAGACGAGCCCAGGCTCGCCCGGAAGGCGCCCCCACTTACGAGGCAACTACTGGGATGTTTTCGTCGGAAAGATTAAAGGAGGATTAAACCTCATTGGGGGGCTGTTATGCCAGAGTGGGCCTCGGATTAAGCTAGATGGACTAAGCGGGACTAAGCAAAACTAATCCAGATTAAGCGGGACTAAGCCGGATTGAGCCGGATTAAATTGGATTTCCGACCAGGGCAAAAACAGAATTTGACCTCCCAGGAGTCGCATCCGAACCCCACCACGCGCTGGCCGCCATTGCCCGCCGCCTGCAGAAGGAGCCCGAGGATACGGGGCCAAAGTCGTGTCCTAAGTCATCGGCAGCCCCGGCCCACAGCTCCGCCGGCAGCGTCGTAGCTCCGCGCTACGACGCCAACATCACAACGTCGAGCAAGAAGACCACGGAACTCGACCTGTGCAGCCCAGACCCCGGCGCGGCGCGCAGCCCCAACCCCCGCGCGGCTGCGTCCACGACGACGACGAGGAGGAAGAAAGATCTCGCCCCAATTACCCCGCGCCAGCGAATCACACGCCAGGGAAGTGCAAGAGGGTCCTCGAAGTGGGCTGCAACGCAGTGGAGCTCCGCGAGACCTACGGCAACGGGGGCAAGGCCGAGTAGGACCTGACCCTGGTCGACACGTGGATGAGCGCGGCCATCATCAGCGACCGCGCGGCGTGAGGGCCTGAGGCTGGTAATGCCAGCTTCGCGGCGCGGCAGCAAGCGCGCACGCGGCTGCGCGGCGCAGGAGCCGAAACGGGAACATGCCGACGACAGCGGATGCGAGGCCGAAGCCCGCGGCTCCGGTAGAAGGAAACAGTTGGTGGACACTCCCTCGCTCTCCCAGCATCCAAGTTGGCAAGTGCGGGGGAAAACTGCGCGGTCGAAGTGCAGCTCGCTCAACCCACCGCAACACTGAGCCCTGGGCGGGGCATGGACAGATGCACGCGGCGCGGGTGTTCGCGAATTCCCTCCGGGGCTCGCGGCCGCTGCCGCCACGACGACGCGGCCGAGGTCGACCCGGCGTGGGAGCGTGGAGTTGAGCAGGGACCGACCGTCCCAGCATTCCTATAGGCCTACCACGACATGCCCTTAAAGCCCACAAGTGTTCCAATAGCAAAGAACAGGCTCTCAGAACATAAACCCAAAATGCTAAAACAGGACAGGCCCAGCCAGAGGTGTTCTAAGAACAGGTCGTGCAAACCACAACAACTTCTTAGAGCATTCTTTGGTGGGCCTATACACTATACAGTGCGGGCGCGGCCGCAAGAGACCCTCGCCAGAAACCCAACCCTGAGAACCCGCGCGCGAGGTACACCCGAGGGGAAACCCGGAGCCCCTTGAACGCAGCAGCTCCTGCAGCGGCCGCGGGAAGTCGCCGCGCAGCGCGCGGAGCGAGGAAGCCCGGGATGCCCTGACGAAAGCACATGGTTTTTCTTGATGCGCGCCCCCCCTGCAGGCGAGCCGTGACGCCCCGCCACTGCTTGGCGAAGAGGGAGAGGCCACCCCGCCGCCGAGGAGGCCGACACGCGGACCCCGCAGGCGAAAGCCCGCGGCGCCGGGCAGCCGACCGCGGCCTCTCCTCGGGCGCCCGCCGCCGCCGAGCTCGAGCTGCGGGGCTCCAGGAGTTCAGCGCGCCAATCAATGGGACGCACAGAGACATACCAATCCTGTATGCCTCCCTTGGAGGCGCGCGTCCGAGCCGCACATATACTATGCCCATCTTGTAGTGCATCGTCGCCCGAACGGTGTGGCCAGGAAGCGCCCGCCACGACGTATGTACTAGAAGATTTCTCGGTACGCGCGCCGCCCCTGGGGGGGCGACGAGCATATTGTATAAGTATGTTGGGGTGACGCCGAATCAAAGGGCCCAGGAACACACAAGCAAATACACACAAGTAACGGGATGCCCGATCTTGTTCCATGGTTTCTAGGTTGTCGTCTTCCCCCCATTTCCCCCGTAGTTTCAAATCTTTTCCTGGGAGTCGGCGATTGACTGTGTCTGTGTGTGTTTCCCCTCCTGAGCCAATGCAGTACAAGTGTTAGGTCGGGCGTGTCCGCGTGTCTCCCTACAGGCGGATGTTGGGCGAAACCTAATACATACCTCGAACATGCTCCAAAATGAAAAAAATACGAAACAAATGGTCCCCAAACTATTTTTTCTATTTTCGAACATTCCCTCTGTAGAGGGACGGGCCCGGCTCAACACAAGAGGGACAACGACGTGGGGCTCTCCGCGGGAGGTGCGGCGCGCACCTCGCCTCCTTCGTTGGCGGGCGCTGCCTCGGCGGGGAGGGGAGCCGAGGGAAGTCGGCAGAAGGGGGGGGAGCTGGCGAGCTTGCCTTGGCCGGCGACAGGGGGTGCACGTTTTCCCAACCTGCTCGCCTTGTGAATCGGCGCGCACGTCGTGCCACTTGCCTGCCAATGGTTTTTGTGGCATTGGCATGTCATGTTCCGCGCGCGCGAAAGAGCCAGGGAAGGGGAGGAGGACAGGGCCCCTGCAGTCGGTCCTGGGACAGAAGACTGTCCCTCCATAACACGAGACCATCCGCCAGCCTAACAACACACAGAACACAAGGGTACCCTCCCCAGGGTGCACAAGAACATCCTACAAGCACGAAGAGAATCAGGGTACCCTCCCCGAGCCGGCCTTGATCTTATATACCTCGGTCCGGCTGCGGTCCCAGGAACCGCTCCCATGCTGCGCGCCGCGGGAGACCAGGGAGCGCGGTGGAACTGAACGGGGAGACAACAAAATCTGGGAGATCTCACAGCCCTGGCCAAGATATGCCCCATCACTGCCTCGCTGCGCGCCGTGACCGGGCGGCCCCCCCCCGTGGGATACGCCGGGGTGCAGCGGGGCGCAGCGCGAGCACTCCTGCGGTCGGCGGCGCACGGGGCACGGCCGTCAGCTGGGGGCGGCCGCCGGTCGCTGTCGTCGCTGCCGCCGCCGAAGGCGCCGCCGCAGTCTCCGTCGAGCATCCGTCGTCGGCGCCGCTGCCATGAAGCAAGCGGGTCCTGCAGGACGCGGGCCCTGCGTCGTTGGCCTGTTTTCGGGCAGCGCCCAGGGCCCTTCCGGGGCCCTGGGGCTGCCTGCCAGAAAGCCACTCTGGAAGAAGTGCTGGCCCTGAGGAAGGCCGCTGGAGGTCCAGGAACCGTTTCATTCAGGACCGATCGGATTCGTTGTCAGCGTCGTCTCCATAATCGTCGCGATGTCGCCGCGGCCATCGTCGTCGTCGCCGTCGTCGGCAATCACCAAACTTGCTTGGGAGATCGACGGCTCGAGCTCTGGATATGCGCAACTCCTGGCCTTTATCAATGGACCCCTGAAACTGCAGAGCAATTTTTTGGCCGCTTGATAACATTTCCAACAACTGCTCACGTATTGGACCCAAACCGCAACTCGAAACAAACCGGCGAAAGAACCGTGAACCAAACGGCGCTAGAACCAACAAACAAAAAAGGCAAGACAGAACCCCGAAACAAGAACTGCCGTGTCGTTCCTCACGGCCCACTGGGTCACGAACGCAGAGAAGGGCCCATTGGGTTTGTAGAGCCTATGCGGTCCAGATGGCTCCGACCGATGGCTCACAGGACCCATAAAGCGCACATGGCCTATAATAACAAGGCTCACAGCGCCCATCGGGGGTCACGCGGCTCGCATGGCTCATCGAGCACAAGAACTCATAGAGTCAGTAAAGCCCGCGGGGCGGGGCCGATGGCGCTCATGGGGCACGTCGGGCCCACAGCGATGATAAGTCTCAGCGGTGATAAGGCCCCGGGGCTCATAGGGCTCGCAGGGCCAGTTCGACGCAGAAAGCTCACAGCGCGGACAACAGCTCCTAGAGCCCCCTAGGCTCATAGGCCTATGGTGCTCATGAGGCTCATTGCGCTCATGGGGCCCGTACGGCTTGCGCGGTCCATTGGATTTGCGTGGCCCGCAGGGCCACTTATGGGGCCCAACAAACCCGTAGCTGGCCTGCGGGAGTCATGAGGGCCGCTTGGCCCTCAGGGCCAGTGGGATTCATGGGGCTCATGGAGCCCATGCGGCCCAAGCTTCTCATGGGGATCATGTAGACTAGACCACGCGTGTGCGCACACAGGTGGTAATCAAGATTCATGCCTGAGCTCGATAAGGCGCAATCGAACAACGATGAGGGCAATGTCGACGATAACGACGATGGGCGCTGGAATGGCATTCCCTCTCCGCTTGTCGGTGCGCGGTCAGACCAGCGGCCCTGTGACAATTACTGCTCAGGCAGGGGGTGCAAGCTATCGTGTCTGGATGTTTCCCACAATGTCGACCTGCGAGATCGAGCGGGCCAGAGGGAAGCACGACGCGGGGTCGGTATGGCGGCCAGAACAAACAAACACAATCAAACGTGTACCGCGCAGCACGTGGACCCAGGGCCGACTGGACGTCACCGAAGGTGTCACCAATATCGTGAAGACGGCGTGCTGGCCCATCCGCTCTCGCACTACGTGGTTGTCTACGACGGATTCCCGAACGTCAGGCCACAGATGTCGAAAGTGCATATCCAGTCAGACGTGGAACCACGCCTTACGCAGATCATACTAACAGACTGGCCCCGCCAGCAACTGAGGCCGGTCTATGAACAGAATCTCGGCGGTACCACCTGTACACTCGTCAGGGTGCGCCTGACAGATCTGGATGGACGCGACCAATTCTTTGGCATCCCTGCCTTTCTTAGCACGTCGAACCCTCATTTTTAAATTCTCACGCCCCCCCGGGGATCCCCGCCCGCGACGCTATACTGACACGCTGGGCACCGCTCGCACCTGAGCCCAGCCTGCGAGCGTTTGCGAGCTCAAGTGGGCCACGGAAGCTTCAGAGTTGAAGCGGCAGAATCATTTGAAAACCCACGTGGGGGAACCATGGTCCAATAGCGTGGCCAAGCCCTGTCCAAACGTTTGGCCACAAAGGAGGGCGGTGGCGGTCATTCGCCGTGGGCGTCTTCGACCATTTCAGAAGAGAGCCAAAAACCTACGGCAGGTTCGTGTCGTGCCGACCCCAGCGTTGGTTTTTGACACCGCAGGGATCGTTCAACCTTGAACGATCGGCCGCTGCCGCAACGTCCGGTCGTTCAACATCGATCGATTCTGGGTCGCTTGAACGCCCGCGCTGGGGTCGCCGCTGGTCGACACGACAAGGACCTACCGTACCAGAAGTTCGACAAGCCCTGCACCCCTGTGGCAAGACCCCCGGGGGGGCGGCGGACCTCGTGGCTCTCGGCCCGTCCCGCCACCGTGCCTGGGTCGTGGACGGGAGGCCTCTCGTCGAACGAGGCTGCTTCAGCAGAGAACGGGACCGAAGATTTGCAAAACCAACTTCTGACACGAACGACGCGCGCGACCACCGTGTATCCCCCGATCCCCCACATCATCCACGCGTTCGCCCACCTCCAAGCGTGCCCAGACTGGGGGCACCAAAAGGTGCCGATACCGCTACTCCCCGGACCTCTGCTGGGGTGCGTTCTGACCAGGATTTCGAGGCGCATCCAGCGGTGGCGTCGACGGAGGCCCGAGAGGCCCCCAAAGGGGAAAACGAGGGCAGGGTAGAGGTACGGGTACCTCTCCCTCCTCTGACAAACAGCGTGTGATGCCTCGGGCAATCTCCGGCCCGCGGACGGGCCGTGCCCGAAGGGCGCCGTGGGCACCAGCTCGGCGCTGGCAGCAGCGGGCGGGGGCGCGGCGCGGGGGCCGTGCCCCCTGGCCGGCTACTGCCAAACGTGCCCCCGCGGAGCGGGCCCGGGCAGCCCCAGGGGCTCCAAAGAGGAGCGGGATGCCGGGGGCACCCTGGATGATGGGCCTGCTTTCGACCACCACCACCACCACCATTAGTTGGAGGAGGAGGGGGTCCTCCTCCTCCTCCTCATCCTCCTCCTCCTCCTCCTCCTCCTCCTCCTCCTCCTCCTCCTCCTCCTCCTCTTCGTCCTCCTCCTACTCGTCCTCCTCCTCCTTCCCCCCATCCAGCGTATGGTGGTGGTGGTGGTGGAAAACAGGCCCATCACTTAAGCCAAGAACACCGTTGGCAAGACCCGGCCTGGGAGCGACGGTGCGACCTCAGGAGGCGCTGGCGGCGAAGCAGAGGAACCAATCGTTGCTCGCGGATAGGCTCGGGAGGGCAGATTTCGCCTGGGGACGGGCCGACCAGATGCAGCAGTGAGCACCGCCTTCGCTGGACCTCCGCGTGGGGCCACGAAGCGTGTTGGGGGTGTGCCGAAATTGGCGCGGGGGCGCGTGCGAGCCCTGCCACGAGCGCCTTCGGTGGAGCCCCACGTGGAGTCACAATACGTGTAAATGATGTACCAACATGCGCGCGGGGACACATACGAACCCTGCCACACGAGCCGCCAAAGTGGAGCTCCCAGGGGGGCCACGAGGCGAGTGAGAGGTGTGTCGACGTGGGCGAAGGGTCGCATGCGGGCACCGCAGCTAGGAGTTCGGGTGGAGCATCCCATGGGGCCACGAAGCGTGTGAGGACTGCCGACATGGGCGGTGGGACGCACAAGGACCCTTTCACTTTCTCCCAACCATAAGTGGTGTTGGGTCCTCGTTTTGAACACAGCGCACGGCGTCTCCTCTCTTCTCCTCCCCTCCTCCTCCCCCTCCTCCTTCTTCCCATACGCCTCGTCATCGTCATCGTCATCGTCATCATCGTCATCATCATCGCCATCGACATGATCCACATCATCATGATCATCACCTTCGCCATCGTCAGCGACCATCGCCATCAAGACCTTGCCACTTTTTGTTGTTACCCTCACTTGCAGTGATCCAAAGCGGCCTTGGTGGCTGCAGCCGCTTCTTGACACTGATCGCAGATAGATGTATCAGAGGTCGTGCAAATCAACAGCCGCAGTCACCAGCACAAACAGGGCTGTCAGTGGCAAGGTCCTTCACCAAAACCCTGCCACTTGGGCCTTCGGTGGAATTCCCCACGGAGCCACGAAGCGTGTGAGAGATATGCCGACATGGGTTTGGGGCCTTCGGTGGAGCTCCCTGTGGGGCCACGAAGCGCGTGAGGGGTGTGCGGGCATGGGTTGGGGGACGCAGGCGGACCCTGCCTCTGGGGCCTTCGTTGGAGCTCCCTGTGGGGCCCCGAAGCGTGTGAGGGGTGTGAGAAAATGGGCGGGGGCACGCATGCGAACCCTGCCACTGGGGCCTTCGGTGGAGCTGCTTGTGGGGCCACGAAGTGTGTGAGGGGTCTGCCGAAGCACGGACATACGGAGAGAAGAGGCAGGCATGGGAGGAGGGGTAGGAAGAGAGGAGGAGTAGTGTCAGGAGAAGGAAGAGGAGGCGGAAGAGGAGGAGGAGGAGGAGGAAGAGGAAGATGTGGAGCACGAAAGGCGGAGTGCTGCCAAATTACAGGGAGGACCCAACACTACAAAATGGCTGGGAAACGCACGACACACCAATAGCCTTCCAGAGATCTGCGAGGATTTCTTGGATCGGCGCTGGACCGACGTTTTGTTTTGGGCGCTTCTCAGATATAGGATAGGACGGCGAGAAGAACGCTGGTGGCGCCTACCTTAGGAGCCGCGGAGAAGCCGGCGCGAGGCACGCCGCGGCGCGCGCGCCGGATGGTGCCGTGCTGGGCCGCTGCCGACACGCCGCGGAGGTCCACGGACAACCCACTGACAGCTCCACTGTTCGGTGTCCGTTCCAGGGGGGCCTGCGTGGCCCCTTGCGCTGTCCGGTTTGGGACGGATGTGGACCGGATTTGGAACAAATCTGGGCCGGATCTGGACGGGATTCGCGGAGACCAAGAGAACGAAGAGGGGGAGGGGGAACAGGAGAGGAGAGGAGGAGCGGGAGGATGAGCAAAATGCGGTCCCCACGCGGTTCATGGGTGCCGCTTCCGGTGGGCCACTCCACGCGTGATGGGGCGTGCCGTAATGGGTTGGGGGGACGGATGCGGGCACCCCCACTGGGGCATTCGGTGGAGCTCCCTATGGGGCCACGACGCGCTGTAGTGAGTTGTGGAGACGCATGCGGGCGTTGCCACTGGGGCCTTCGGTGGAACCCATGGGGCCACGAAACGCTGCTGGAGTTCCCTATGGGGCAACGAAACGCTGTACTGGGTGTGGCGGACGCATGCGGGCGGTCCACCTGGGGCCTTCGGAGGAGCCCCCCATGGGGCCACGAAGCGCTATACTGGTTGTGGCGGGCGCATATGGTCACCCCCACTAGGGCCTTAGGTGGAGCTCCTTATGGGGCCACGAAGCGCTGCACTGGATGTGGCGGACGCATGTGGCCAACCCTATTGGGGCCTTCTGTGGAGCTCCCTATGGGGCAACGAAACGTTGTACTGGGTGTGGCGGACGCATGCGGGCACCCCCTTCTGGGGCCTTCGGTGGAGCTCCCCATGGGGTCACGAAGCTTCTTACGGGTTGTGGCGGACGCATGCGGACACCCCCACTGATGATGGCGATGACGATGACGATGACGATGACGATGGCGATGATGATGATGATGATGATGATGATGATGATGATGATGATGATGATGATGATGATGATGATGATGATGATGATGATGATAATGATAATGATAATGATAATGATGATGATGATGATGATGATGATGATGATGATGATGATGATGATGATGATGCTGATGGTGGTGATGATGATGCTGCTGCTGATGCTGATGCTGATGATGATGCTGATGGTGGTGATGATGATGCTGCTGCCGATGATGTTGCTGGGAGGAGGGGGGAGGGGGAGGAGAAAGGAGCAAGAGACGCGGGGCGCTGTCTCTTCAAAACGAGGACCCAGCACCACAGGATGGTGGGGAAATGCCCCAAGATACTAAAACATTTCTTAAAAACTACTCCCAAATCGTCCCCGGACTATGTTTTGACTATTTTCGAAGATTCTCCCTGTAGAGGGACAGGCCCGACTTCAGCCTGGTGGGCAATGCTTGCTGTGGTACGCTTGGCTTGCGCGGCCGAAGGCCACATGTGCACAGCATGAGCCAGTCTCCTCGCCGAGAGGGTGCGTGGGGAGGGGTGCCTGGGGAGGACTCGGAGGGCCTGACCCGAGGAAGGCGGGCGAAGAGACCGCGGAGGCGGCTGGAGCCGACCGCCTAGCCGAACATTTCGGGAACGCCGCGGTCGTCCCCCCAATCCACGCCGGAAAGACCCGCGGCTTAGGTCGGGCGTGTCCCCCTGCAGGCGGATCTTGGAAGAAAGATGAAACGAAAAGCAACAAACATCCACACATAATTCAGAAACAAATGGTAGAACAATGGTCCCCAGACTATGTTTTGACTACTTTCGAGTATTCTTCCTGTAGATGAACAAGCCCGACTAAACTCAAGGAGTCCTGGAAGCGACTACACGGTGGAGTCGGAGCGCCGTGGCCGAGCCTCGCGCAAGACTCTTCCCGAGCAAGCCTCCGCTGATAAGGGAGCGGCACTCGCACGAGGACAGCTGCCACAGG